CTTTAGTTTCTTCCATTAATTCTTTTGATCTCCTGCATTTCTTTTACTTCCCTCTTTAGGGACTCAATTTCATTCTTCTGATCGTGTGATTATTTTTCCCTTATCATTGTTTTTCTTTATGACTTCTGTCAGTTTTTTAATCACGGCAATTTTAAATTCTCTTTCTGGAAGGCTCAGAAGTTCTTCAAGTTACTGTCGTTGCCATCTGGGGGCTGGTTTTCTTTTTGTGGTGTGCTTTTTCTCTGGAGAGTTGCTAGGTTGCGTGTGGTTCTTCTCCTCCCTACTGTCTGTTTTCTAATTTGCCGTATGCGTTTGGGACACTGTGTTGTTGGGACTGGCCGGCATCTTGTGTGGGCTTCTCTGCTCCCCTCTGGTTCCTCCAGGAGTCATCTGTCAGTTTCAAGCAGTCTTTACTGGAGAAAGGTCCCTGTTTTAAAATGCCGATTGTGGGGACACACTCCCTGTGCGCCTGGTCTGCCCCGGCGGTGGGTTCCTGCTCCCCCTCTGGGCTTGGACTGCAGGCCAGAGGGGGTCTGGCGTGGGCGAACTTCCCCCGCTCACCTCTGGCTCCTGAGGAAGCCTTCTGCAGGTAGTCTTTACTGAAGAAATGTCCCTATTCTATAATGGTGATGTGGGACACACTCCCTGCGCGTCCGGTCTCAGGCACACTCTTCTGCGCACTTGGTCTGCCCCGGCTGTGGGTGCTCGCTCTCCCTGTGGGCTCAGATTACTTGTTCGGAAGGGGCCCGGCGTGGGCTAACTCCCCAGCTGGCCACTAGCTCCTTCAGGAGCCTGTGCTGGCTTCAAGTCGCTACGTGGCGCCAGAGATCTCTCCTAGAGCCCTTGGGGAGCTGATTTTCCACCCCGTGGGACAGGGAGCAGAGCAGGGATGGTAGGGTACACCTCAACGGCTTTGGGGTGCTGTGTCTGCCTTGTGCCCCACCGTTGTGGGGACCCACGCCCTAATTTCGTGCCCGGGTCTCAGTTCCAAAGCCCTCAGTTCCAGGACGCGGGCTGTAGCCCAGATCAGTGGCGCGGGAATGGCGCCTTTTGAATCCCGCTCCCCTGCCTGGGCGCCTGGTTCCTGACTCACTCAGGGAGGGCCTCCGCGCGTCTCCCTGCAAGCCTAGTCGCAGGCGCGGGGACCTGGACAGCTGCGATCCGATCCGGACCCGCGTTTGCTTTTCAACCGCACTGCTTTTCAGCGCGATCCGCGCCGCTTTCCCGCGCAATCCCGATCCGCATCTGTTTTTCCAGCGCGCCGCTTTCCACGCAGGCTTACCGGGCGGCCGGGGCTGTGTGCTGGTGCCGGTCTCCTCCTGGGCGGGGTCTCTCTTCAATGGCGCCCGGAGCTCACCTCCACGGCGGATCCTGCAGGGTTCTCCACAGCTCCCGTTCACGGGGTGTGGTGGCTGAAATAGTTCCTTTCCACTCACAGTCCCGCTTGCTGCGTCGTTTGTTCTTGTTGGTCGTTTTAGTTTGTTGTTTTCCTCCTCTCTGCCGGTCGGAGAGTGCCGCCTCTGTGGGCGGGGGAGGGGAGCAGGGTTCTGCGCTTCCCTCCCTTCTGGTCCGCTTTTAGGGCCACTTTCTTCTTCGGGCAGTTTGCTGGAGTCGTCCGTTTATCTTCCGTGTCCCGGTTCTCACTGGGACCTGCCGCTTTTCCTCCCTATTAACTTTTTTTAATGGGAGATCTTACTCGCAGCGTCTCCTTGCCGCCATGTTGCTCCGCCCCCTTCTTCTGAATCGCTTATATTTTCTTGATTGTTGCATACTGGGAAATTTTTTATGAGATGCCAGACATTTGAATTTGCATTGTTTGGTGTTGGATATTTTTATATTTCTATAAATATTCTTGAGCTTTGTTCTGGGGAAACAATTTGATCCTTTCAAAGCTTGCTTTTGTTAGATGGAACCAAATCAGATTTATTCTAGAGAGAATTTGGCCTCACTATAGAAGGCAATGAACGCCCTTTTGAACATTCCACCGGATGTCCCATGAATTAGTAGATTTCCAGTTTGGCTGGTGGGAACAAACACTCTTTCAGGCCCTGTGAGAACTTTGAGGATTGTTCCCTCCAATTTTGTCCAGGTTTTCCCCAGCCTTGGGCGATGTCCTCATGGGTATGTGCTGCTCAGCACTCAGGTGAGCACTCCAGAGAGCGCCAAAGCCCTTCTCTATGCAGCCTTCTCCTCCAGCATTCATCCCCACGACTCTCTGTGAATGCCTTGATCTCCCCCAGGATTCCAGTTTCTTCTCCACTCAGGGAAACAGCTAAGCTCTACTTGATTTCCTTTTCCTAAACTACTGCCTCTAGACAGTAGGCTAGGGCAATTTGTTTCCCAGGTATCAAGAATCATTGTCTTCTGCTGACTCACATCCAATGTCTGAAAGTAGTCATTTCATGTATTTTGTTCAGTATTTTAATTATTTAATGTGGGAGGGTCACTTTGATGTCAAGAACTTTTTGAGGGTCAAAAGTTTACCATATTTATAAGCTAATAAGTTCCATACTACAGTTTCATAGGTGCTGTCAAAAGACTTTGGACTCCTGGGTCAGAGAGAGAGGATAACAGGACAGCAGACAGGTTGAAATTCTTGTTTTCATTGGGGTCCTTTGTCCCCCCAGGTCCCACAAGTGATGTAGAGTAGTACAGATAGATTCTGGGCCACAACTGAGAAACCTTGCACTTTTAAGGTTTGTTATGCAAACTTCCTTGAAAAGAGAGTTTGTTAAAAAAAAAAAAACAAAACCAAACACTCATATAAGATGTAAAAATGGAGGTCTGCCTGTGCGGGGTCCCTGGGCCTGAGTCCAGGTTCCCACCTGTCTACGCAGGATGTCGGTGGCCTTCGTACCCAACTGGATGAGAGGCAGGGTGGAAGTTAATCAGGAGACTATCCAGTGACTCCTGGAGGAGAATGACCAACTGATCCGTTGTATCGTGGTGTATTAGAACAAGGGCCGGGCAAACGAGTGTGTCCAGTACCAGCATGTGTTACATAGAAATCTCATTTATTTGGCTACCATAGCAGATGCACGCCCAACCAGTGCTACAAAAACAGTGTAATAATCTTCCAGTTGACAAGTGCAAGGAGTAATTGAAAGTAATCCATTTCCTATGAAATGGAGGTAGGATCTTTAACCAAGCAACTGCTTAAAACACAAATAAAACCTCTGTGACTTAAAAAAAAAAAAAAGATGTAAAAATGGTGTCTGCCAACACTAGTCCTTTTCCCCCATCTTGGCCAGGCAGAGAGGTAGAAAATGACAATTTAAGCTGCCTTTGAAAACTATGATTCCGCTCCTCTTTGTGAAAATAGAAAAAGATAACTTGTGCCATTGCTACTGTTTTTCAGGACCAATAAGGAGACTAAAATTGTCAAGCACAAAAGTAAAATTTTGGCTTTGAATGGATGAATGTATTAGGAAGAATTTAGAGATAAGGTACTTCTTTATACTACAGAGTAGTAATTAACTCTTTCTCCTGTAAGAAACAAGCACCTGTGACTCAGTATCTGGGTTTCTGCACAATGTCAGCTTCTCATTTTTGTTTGTTTTTCAGAGGGTATTATTCCAGGGCCCCCCACAGATCTCTATGTCACTGAGGCCACCAGGAGCTATGTGATGCTAAGCTGGAAGCCCCCTGGCCAGCGTGGCAATGAAGGAATTCTGTATTTTGTGGAAAAGGTAAGACTCAAGATCAAAACTTCCTCTTCCTAAAGATTTCTTTAAAGAATTAGAGATGAAGTTTCCATTGTGTTTTGAACCCTTCAAACCCTTGTAAATGGAATAATTGTCACAGAAAATATATATATAACACAAAATTGTATGGTTCTCAGAGACTCACCCATAGACTCTTAAGTGGTCAACAGACCCAAATCATTACCACTATATGAAGAGAAATATTCCTGAAACATAGATTGCCTGTGTGTCAATGTTTTCTAGACACTTTCTCTTTCTCCCTTGCTCTGAGAATGACTTTTAAAAAAATCCCTCTACCTCCTTTTCCTCTGCAGTGGTAACGAACATTAGTGAAACTAGATGGGCAAAAGGAATAGAAACTATACTTTTGAATGGCTGGGAGAGTTGAAGACAGAAAGTCCTCATTTGTCACTAGTTAAGTCTAAGTGCACATATTAGGGTGGCGTCAGGGATTGCAAGACATGAGATATTGGGTCATTCTTTCCCTCAAATATCTTACAACTACATTGTAACTGTATTATATTGAAGAGGGCTCCTTACTACGAAGACCTGAGTGAGTGGAATGATGAGAATTACATGTGAATCTATCATAGACCCATATTTGAGGGTAGTTTTAATAATTTATGCCCAGAAAATATAGAAGAACCAATCACAGGAAGGGCATTGTTTGAGGGATTGGCCCAAATACAAGTGCAGAAGCAGAATTGCTTGAAAAAGCAAAGTTTAGGGCCTCAGCAGGGAAGTCCTCAGCTCACAGGATAATTGCCACTGGAAAAAGTTACTGAAAGAGAATTTACCTAAAATAAGGTTCAAAATCCATTTGTTAGAAAGTTTTGATTGGGATATAATTGGAAAAAATGGAACAAGTTTATCTCATGCATAAAATCACTCATTTTTGGCAGCGATGCACTTTTTTTTTTAAGAACAATGAATGAAGCAAATATTTGTACTTTTTAAAAAAATATTTATTTCTTTTTATACAAGAATTGGGGTACAGGCCAGAGATGCTGGAGGTGAGAGGATTCACCAGAGACAGAGTGGGGAACAGAACAGGCAGATGGACCAAAGTACACTGCTGAGGGGAGCAGCAGGTGAGACTGGAGAGGTCTGTCCCTCCATGTGGGTTTCTCCCTGGCCAGCCAGGAATCAAACTTGTGCTGCAGTGGCTGCGGATTTCTTCATAGGTTGCATCTTAACCCCTGCACCACCAGGGAGGCCCAAATATTTGTAATTTAAAAAAAAAAAAAAGGTTTATTTTTTATTTAAACAAGAGCTGGGGTACCGGCCTGAGGTGGGGGAGAGACAGAGCGGGGAGCAGAGCGGGGAGCAGAACGGACTAACCAAAAGCACTGCTGAGGGGAGCAACGGGCAAGTAAGGAGAGGTCTGCCACACCATGTGGGTATCTCCCTGGCTGGCCAGGAATCAAACTCATGCTGTTGAGGCTGTGGACAGCCTCACAGTGCTTCACTCAACCCAGTGCGCCACTGGGGCGGCCCAAATATATGTACTTTTAAATATATTTCATTTTTATAAAATTATGTGCTAGCATGACAAATAATGGTTTCTTTTTACTTTCATAACAAAATCATTAAAAAATGTCTCTTATTCCCCCAAAGTATTATGGAACTCAATCAGGCCCCTTTCTTTCATCTTTAATGTTTTTTAATTATTTAATTCCAGAACACCTTTCAGGTCACCTTCCCTGACAACTATTACAAGAGAGTGATATCATCAACCTATAAGTGTATACAAGCATAGCAAATTAGGTAACAACATTAAAATGATATGCAGTTCTCTTTATGGCCCTATAGCTATTTCAAATCAGTGACTCTTGAGAAAAAATACTGAAACTAAAAATGCTAGAGAGAGGGTTTCTCTGCTAATAATGTTTCTTTTATAAGGATATTTATCTCCTCTCTTTGAAGAGCATGTTTTACTTCCAAGCATGTTTATTTCCTTCTTATATCTAACAAATTGGTGAGGATAAATGGATCATCTCTTCATCATACAATACAGGAATCTTCCAAGAGCCTGATTTTGCCAGAATATTAAAAATATATAGTTTATGAATATTTATATTTCCTAGCTATAAGACTCAAATAAAATACAATTTGAGTAATAGTCTCCATTTAAAAAAATTTTAATTCTCTTTTTCTTAATAAAAGGGAAGAATAGATGTTCACATCATGGTGTGTTTAATGCATACCCTTACTAAATCTCTTTGAAACATGCTACAAGAAGAGAGTTCTGAAAAAGCTCTCTGACAGTAATTACCACTTTCCTATAATAACAAAACAATAACAACCTACCACTGAGGCCTTTTCTTCAGATGAGTTAACTTTGGCTTCTGTTAAGCATTTCTTCTGGTCACATAAACTCTTTATTTCTCAATAGCTGCAACTTCCCTAGAACTAAATGCATAAGAGTCTGTGATTAAGCATGTAAGATTTTTCACCGACACCCTTATTAGCATGGAGCAGAAGGGGACATCTATGAGTACAGTGTCAGTAGATTCCATAGAGGCACAGTCACCACATGCAGAACACCCAGGATGTGAGGTACTTGGGGAGCAGAACACATCCCAAGACCAGGGGCACATTTACAGAGGAGCTATCCAAATGCCAAATCATTCTCCTGAGCCAAGTCTTGAATTATTTCTGATGAACCATTTCTGAATACATTGACCTTTATAAAGGGAGGCACTTCCCATGATCTGTCCTGTGATGGTTTCCTCCACAGGAGGTCCACCCCACAGAGTGCAACCTCTCCTGTTACTCTCATGTTTGCGCTTCTTCATGGCACTTTTCACCTGGGATTTGCATGGGCATAAGGCAGGAACTTGCCTGTTATGGCTACAGGTATACGACCAGTTTCTCCCTGTCCATGAACCCTGTAAATGTGAAATGAGGGGACTTATTAGCAAGGGAGTCCATTGACTCAGTCTCTAGTGGTCCCAAACTTCCTATCCTACTGTGTTGTTTTTAGCCCCAAACTTTTTCCTCAAGTGTCTTATGTTTTAAGCTCTTTCTTTTATTTCCTTTTCGCCAGTGGGGTCATGGCAGGGACAAGGATTGCATCACCTGATAGTTCTCTGTTTCTACCAACAAGAATGCTACTGTTTACTAAGAAATAGGCACTGTCCTAAGCTTTCTGTATGTGTAAGGCCACTTAGCTCTTACAGTAATCCTATGAAGGAAATACTTTTATTTTCATCATGCTTATTTTGCAGATGCAGAAATTGGGGCATGGATGGGTTTTAAAATTTTTGCAATGTCACACAGCTAGTGAGAGTCAGAGCTAGAGTTTGAACCCAGACATAGAGGCTCAGGTCCACATATCCAACTACTACAGTCTGTCGCCTTTCAATCTTCCAAAACTTAAATTCCTCTGGAAAATTTTCATAATCACGCAGTGCTACCTCCACAATCTCTACTTCAAAGCGTAATTGAGAAGGTTAAAGATATATAATGGCACATGATATTCTTAGCACAATAAGGCCGTTATTATTTTTATGATGAAAGTATAAGTAACTGATTATTATTTATGTATTCCCAGTGGAGAATATATCAAAATCTATCAAAACATAACCTAAAGGATTATAGGTGTGCAAGAATCCCATCCCTCAGTGGACGTCAGACTGACTGTTGTGGGGGGCAGATTTATGTTCTCTACCCTCCCCCATACGAATGGCACATGATCACAAATCACACTGAAAGGTTAGAGGTTACCTCTCATCACATTTGCTTATCTCATATGTGATGAAACTGAGACCAAGAGCACTCAAGTGCCTTTTCCGAGGCTAACCAACTCATTAATAACAAAACAATGACCACAATCACTGCCTCTGGGTCCACTATCCCATATTGCTTCCCATTTCAAGTCAGTGAAGATTATGCCAAGTTATATGCCTGTAAACTTCCCCAAAATATATCACCCTTGATAGCTGGTCTGTTTTTATATTCATATTAATTTGGATTTCTGGAAAAGTTTTTTAACTTTTGTTAAAGAGTTCTACAATCTGGAAAACTGCTTCTGCTGACCTTGGTCAGAATTGAAAGTTACAGGAGGGAAAATGGATTACTGAACTGCTGATAGTTTTCTTATGCTATTCTTTACCAAAGTTCAAATATATATTACAGCCTCCTTTTTAGGGCTGTGGCCCACATGACCGGTGGGTGCAGCATGGAAGGTTGAAAGTTGCTGCAAAAATAGATTTTAAAAATCTTCTTCATAAGAAAAATTTTTTTTGCAACTATGTGTAGTGACAGATGTTAACTAGACTTAGTTTATCATGGTGATCATTTTCATCATACACACAAATATCAAATCATGATGTATAACTGAAACTAACATGTTATATGTCAATTATGCACCAACTTTAAAGAAGCATTTCAAAGTATTCTACATCATTTTAATTCAAATAACTTTAATTTTTCCCATTATTCAAAAATATGTGCAAGAAAAAAGATCATCTTTATCTTTATTCATTCAATCAGAAAAATTCATTCATTCAAAAAAAATTATTCATTATCTACTATGTGCCGGATTAGGCTCTAGGTTAAACATGACAGTTCTCTGAACTTATTTTACTACTCTTTAGTTGCTAATAAGGGAGAGGACAAATGAATAATTTAAAATCAAATAGCAAGAAGTGTTTTGACAAAAATAAAGCAGGGCAATGGATAGAAAGTGATGGAAAAGGACCAGAAAACTCTGGCTGGTATTGAAGAGGGATGATCAAGATTGCCTTTCTGAGGATACCTGAATGGCAATTAGTCCTATTAACATACAAAAGAGAAACTCCTGTATAGAGGAGAAGAACCACTAGAGAAAGAACCTAAGTATGTTCCATGGACAGCAGTGGGCAATCCTGCTGGCATCTGATCAGTACTAGTGTATCAGCAAGGGATTTTCCTGAAAAATGGTTTATCCTCAGGCAGATAGAAACCTCCATGATCATTACTTCCTGTTTCTCATTTTAAGTCTCTGGACAAATCCAATAATCAAGAAAGATGTAACAACCTGGAAATGGAACACCCACAGAAAAGATCAGATCCCTTATCTCCTCTTTTTACACTAGGCCAGTACACCTGGGCTTCTGCTTTAGTAGGAAAATACTGTGACTTTGATTTAGTACAAATGCATAAGCAGAATGACAATCAGACGAGACTCCAGCACTGCATAATACAAGTTGTTGATCAGAACTGTTCAGACTATGTTGATGGTATCTGGGTGAAAGAAAGCAAGGCAAGTTATTATCTCAGTCCATTTCTTAGCACAGACAGTTGACAAATTTTTTGCAAGCTCATGAACATCTTCACCACTTCCATGAAACTGACAGCCAAAAATTAGAAAAGGCTCATGTAACATCTCTGTTTGGCCAATATGGAAATACTACTTGTCAAAGGAAAAAAACCTTTCTTGATTTGAATAAATTAGCTACTTTAGCATCACACTTTTCAGAGGCTATAATGCAAGAAAAAAAAACAAAACAACAACAACGAAGAAATTGCTAAGCACAGTGCTTTCTCCTGCATCAAAAACCCTACCTGAACAACTGCAAGCAGAGAAACAGGAAAGTCTGTGTGCAATGCCAATATTGACTGCACTGCAGCTCATCAGTCTATAAATCTGTTAAGAAAACAGAAGCACTAATGAATATGATTTGAAGGAAGCCTTGAACATGGTGGAATATATTAATGAGGAAGATGTAAATATAGATGACCTAAAACTGAAAGTCCTTTGCAAAGCTCTTCAGAGAGGTAATTGATCTAGTTCAAATGGTAAAGATGATCTTATTGTAGTATCTAAGACAGTATACTTGTGAAAATCTTACAGAAACTTCTAAAGAATGGCTGTGAATACTTACAACAGGTGAAAGGCCTACCATAAGCAGATCAATCTGAAAGTGTGAAGTTCAGATGTAACTTTTTCTAAAAATTACCGTTGTGCCTGGAAAAACGCCATTAAATTACACTCAACTAAAATAACAGTTTATAACAGTGTAGTGAAAATGTAAGTATCTAAAATAGCATAATGGGCCTCCCTGGTGGCTCAGGTGGTTGAGCGCTGCACTGTGAAGCTGTCCGCAGCCTCTGCAGCGCTGGTTCCATCCTGGCCTGCTGGCGAGACTCCCACATGGCAAAGCAGACCTCTCCTGTCTCACCCGCTGCTCCCCTCAGCAGCGCATTTTGTTAGTCTGCCTGTTCTGTTCCCCGCTCTGTCTCTGGTGAATCCTCTCACCCTCCCATGCATCTGGCCTGTACCCCAGTTCTTGTATAAATAAATAAATCTTTAAAAAAAATAATAAAATATCATAATGCATTGGCCTACTTACCCTCCAAATTAGAAAGGTATCTGATACCAAATTATCTTCTAAATGAGTTAAGGTTTTTCAATAATACATTGATGATCTTATTTAGTTGATAAAAGAAGTCACATATTAAAGCAGCATATTTGTCAAATAATACAAAGCCATGTCTGATTTTGATGACCCTACAGATTTCAGGTGTTTTATCACCCAGTTCATCCAAGTCTCTTCTCCAGTTCATCTTGCATAAAAAATAGTAGTTTGTTGGCAGATAACTAAAACCGAGAGATGGCTGGCCTGAAGTCCCTGCTTATCCTTGTGGTGCTTTTAATGGCTTTCCCTTTTCTGGCTGCAGTGTGAGGCAGGAACTGAGAACTGGCAGCAGGTGAACACAGAGCTCCCCGTGAAGTCTCCCCAATTTGCTCTGTTTGACTTGGCTGAGGGGAAATCCTACAGTTTCCGTGTCCGCTGTTCAAATTCAGCAGGAATTGGTGAACCCTCAGAGGCAACGGAAGTGACCTTGGTAGGGGACAAACTTGGTAAGTGTAGAGTTTAGTTGAGCAATTGTAAATGTATTATACTTCAACTTAAGAGAAAATTCCAAAGCAAGAGCCTAACTAGATTCTACAGAAGTGTATATTCAGAAGTAAAAATGGTGACCTCATTACATATTTTTAATTTGATTCATGATTGTACTTGACTGATATGTCTTTTAAGAATTCATTATTATGAATTACGAAATCATGCAAAATAAACTTCTCCAAGAGTTTTAACAATATTACTAACACATTTTTTTTTCTGGAGTGTGCTGGCATTTTTATGGGTATTTAGTTTACCATTTATGCTCCCAAACAAACATATTTACTTCTTAATTTCCTGTTTTAACAAATATGTTGCAAAATAAAGCAAAATGTATGTTTGACAAGACTACTCTGTGTGTGCGTGTGGAAAATGAATTTTTTTTAAATTACCCTGAGTTTGATCATCATTTTCTTCTTTTCTCAGATATCCCCAAGGCCCCGGGCAAAATCATCCCAACCAGAAATACAGATACATCAGTAGTAGTTACATGGGAGGAATCCAAAGATTCCCAAGAACTGGTTGGATACTACATAGAATCAAGCATCGTTGGCTCTGGCAAATGGGAGCCCTGCAACAACAACCCCATAAAGGGCTCACGGTAAGCCCACTACGTGTGGGGTGGGGTAGGTGGGCACCCACCTCTACAGCCACAGACACTACAAAGAGGAAACAGCAGCCATGGCCATATAGCAACACAAACATGCAATGAAGGGAGATCTTTAAAAATCATTGTATCTTATATATCCAGATGAGTTCAACATGGAGCCTATCTTCTGCAGTACCTTTGAACAACAACAAACCAAAAAAGGTTTACTTGTGATATTAAACACTTAGAAACACATGCTACCAGCTATTTGAAGCTTTCAATTGGTAGCTCTTTTCTGATTCTTTTCCAATATGCTGTCTTTTTAACACCTCTTTCTGGTCTTTAATATGCAGTGTAATACTAGATTTTAAGGATCTGATCTAGTAGGCTCTAACTAATATAAGTTACTCAGCATTTAAAATAAATAGAAAAAAGTATCAGCATTTTACAAATTTTGAACATCACATGGTTAAACCCTGTGATAAGGAAACATAACTCTAAAATAAGAACATTTAGAATATCTTGCCACCTCTTTGTATCTGTTTGTACCAGGAGAAAGATTATTTTTCCTTGCTTTCAAATATTTTATCTATAGTTTTGCAAGTTGATGACGAATTCTGGTCTGCACCCAAATTCTGAGCCACATTTGATTTACAACCAATGTAGACAGCTTCTGGCTTGAGCCACTTCCACATCCAAGGATCCCCATGAAATTAGTTGGTTCTTTTTCAAAACATGACAGAATGGAGACAAACCAATAATGAACAAGGACAATATGTTTTGCAAGAGATTCATTTAGCCCATTTGTAAATTTCACGTTTACTCTTAGTCTTTTCCTGGGACTATTTAGAAACATTCACTAAGGATAAGCCTTTTGACAAACAGACATGCACTGTTCAAGGACAGGTGACATTTTTTATTCATCTTTGTCTGGAACACTGAAGGGCTCAGTAAATATTTGCTGAACTGAGCTGACCTACAGGCTTGGCCTAAATTATGGCTGTCTTTATTAAATATTTCAACATGGTGATAGTAATAGAGTTATTAGCAGATCTGTTATTACCTCTGGTTTACCAGCCTTAGGACAGATTAAAATGGTACGGTGACTCATGAAGCAGCTATATATAACCGTAATAATTATTAAAGAGTGAGGTTTTTTTATGTGTGAAACTGCCCATGAATTCATACCTCGTTATTGGATCCTTACATGTTAGTGGTAATTCTGGAATCCATTTTTCACCGTATTTTCAGATTCTAGTGTAATTCCTCAAGTAATTGTATCTTCTTTGTCATGCTTATTGATAATACCTTTTATTTACTAAATGCTTCTTTTTATGCCAAGCCCTATAGAGGATACTTTATATAATTTATGGTCAATCTTTACACAAAAAATTATTATGTATGTTGGCATTATTATTACCATGTTACTGATGGGCACACAGTGGTTCAGACAAATTCAGGTATTTTTTCAATGGAAATTGAGGACTCTTCGTTGTTTGACAGGGTGAGTTTAGAAAGATACCTTAGCTGCCTTGTCTAAAAGACAAAGTACATGAGTTGCATTACAACATATACTTTCTTTAAAAAAAAATTGAATTGTTTTATAAAGCCAGATCATTCAGTTAAGCCAAATATCATCTTTTCCTATTTTCCTCTTAGGAAAGTAATTAATAACTTTCTTTCCTTTTAGATTTACTTGTCATGGATTGGCGACTGGTCAGAGTTATATTTTCCGGGTCAGAGCAGTTAATGCAGCTGGACTTAGTGAATATTCACAGGATTCAGAAGCGATTGAAGTAAAAGCTGCTATTGGTGAGTTTCTTATGTATTACTTTATGGGGGGAGGGGATAAAATGTATCTTTTTAAATTACAAAGGAGGATACCATTTTCTCCAGAATCACCTAAAGCTTCTAACATGGTTCAGTGATTCCTTCCTCAGATGATCATTTCTGACTCCAGGCAACATCTAACCTTCCATAGCTGTCATTTTACAGATCTCCATCACTTATCCAGATGCTGTACATATGTAGCCTTTTCATCTTCACAAGTCCAGGTTTTCCTCGGATATTTCCCATTGCGTGAAATTCCATCCTAACTTTGTAATCATCCTGGGAACATGAAGGGCCTTCCGATTCCATGAAGTGGTATATCCCCGTAACACAGATCATCTTGCACCTAATTGCCATTTCATCTACAATAGAGCCTGACTTGTTTTCACTAACACCACATTAATGTGCTTTTTAAAAACTCTAAAAGTCATGCAAGATATAAATGGCTGCTTAATCATATGTTTCATCTCTGCTTGCAAAGTAACCAACAGAATAAAACCAGTAATAAAGTAATTATATGTATGTACAAGATGTACCTTCCAACCTTAAATGAAGTTGGGAAGGGACCAGGTAGTTCAGAGCAATAAAAATGAAATCTGTGATGCAGTAACATACTTAAAGAAATTATTTCATATCAATTGTCTTAGTTAGCATCCCATCTTTTAAACATTACAATATGAACAAAAGTGAATATATTACTTTGAGGTTGGGAGGTACAGATCTTTAATATTTTAGGAATGTAAATAATTCTGTTATAAAATAAAGTCTTTAATGTTATGTCTTTTGTGCACTTTGTAGTCCTTCTTTACTCCATTCTGTAGACTACTAGGGCTTATATTTCTCAAGAACTGTCTCAGATTTGCTCTTTCTTGTACACACTTGGGTCCTGCAAATCAAAATGGTTCCTGTTTTGTCTGTAGTTTTTTGTTCTCATTTCTTCTTTTTCCAGACCATGGAGAAGTTGAAATGTTACTTTGGTGTAAATTATGAGATGTGTGCTTCCATATTTATTGCAAATCCAAGTGATTTCTGCTAAAACAAGATTGTTTTTGTACTGCTTGTGGTTCTAATGTTATTCTCTTTGTTCTATTAAGTTAGAGCAATTTGCATTGTGTCTGAGCTCAAAGTGTTTCTGTTGTTATCTGGCAATTGTAGGGGGAGGAGTGTCTCCAGAGGTGTGGCCTGGACTGAATAAGATACCTGGTGGACTAACAGACTCCAGGGTGGCCTTGCATGAAGCCTCCCAGCCAACCATTAAGAAAGATGCTTTGCTTGGTAGCAAACTTAACAATCCTTCACTACCCAGTAGCTCTCACAACCTGGGCCAAACAGAAGTGAGTAACGTAAGTGAAACAGTTCAGGAAGAATTGACCCCATCACCAAAGAAAGCAGTTCTTGAGGGGAAAAGTAAATCTGAGCCACTGAAAAAGAAAAAGGATGTAGGTGAGAGTTGAAAGAGTAAAACTGTTCCATCTGTTTCCATCAGTGTCTTCATCTCTCATTGTCTACATCACATTCTTCCATCTGTGTTCATTTTCATCAGTGTTTATTCTTAATTTGATGTGTTTTCAATATTTTTGTCTAATGAGTTATAAAAGTAACCTTGTAAGGTTGGCTTTTATATATAATTCATTGTGCTTAATGACAATATTTGATTATAGAGTCTTTTGGGGGTTGTGAGGCAAATACACCTTTGCACTCATTTTGCTAAGAATTGGTGATAAGAGCAGAAAGCATTTGAAAATCATACCCCATGTAAGGTCCTTTGAAATATTTGTGTTTGATATATATATAGGAAAAATATTTCACAAAGAAGTGACATATTATCAGGATCAGACTATTAATACCTGATGCTCATCCTCAGGTTTTCAAATTATCCTTCACTTACAATTCTTATATATATAAGGAAAATTATATTTGAGTTGCTATGAGAAGTTGAACAGGTTATTATAATCACATATAGTTATATTCTAGGATGTATGATACACAATCCTGGATTTGTCATTAAGCTCAGTTCTAAGTTCAGAATTTTCTGACTAGAATATTTGTTATTTCTTGCTTACATATTCTAGGAAACAATGTTTTTCTTATCAAATAAAAATGAAATGATAAGGACCTCCCTGGTGGCGCAAGGGGTTAAGCACCGCACTCTGAGGCAATTCGCAGCCTTTGCAGCACTAGTTCAATCCCCGGCCAGACAGAGAGCAATCCACATGGTGAAACAGACCTCTCCTGTCTTGCCTGCTGCTCCCCTCAGCAGTGTATTTCAGTCAGTCTTCCTGTTCTGTTCCCCACTCTGTCTCTGGTGAATCCTCTCACCTCCCACATCTCTGGCCTGTACCCCAGCTCTTGTATGCATAAATAAATCCTTTTTAAAAAATGAAATGATAAGCATATACAGATAATTATGAAATGCCCCTTATCCATTCCTTATTTCTATGTCATATCCAACTTCCGTCACAACTGCCTGTCTCTTTTTTATTTTTATTTTTTTACACCTTTATTTATACCTTCAACTTAAGGCAATATGACATGTTCATAATCAACATTGCTCTGAAATAGGGGAAAGGAAAGGCAGGAGAGAGCACTTTTTTAAAATCTAAAGAATAAAGGAAGATGGATATAGAGAAAAACAAATATTTTTTTTATTGTATTGTTCGAAGAATCTCTTTTAGATAAGGATGAGATAATTCCTTTATCACCTATAATCCAAAGCAATATTCAAATGATTTCTTTGATGTTATTGCATGTCTACATGGCTTTCTTCTACTACCTCCACCCTTCTTTCTTTAGCAAAAAACACTATTTTGGTAGTTGAATGAAAAGATGGTAGGCAAAGCCACATAAATAACAGACAGATTTTAAAACATACTCCAAAAATTTTTCTGTCCAGGCTAGTAAGATGGTGACAGCTACTTAGCATTTTGTGCTACAGGAGTAATATTCCAGTATTAGGCAAAAAATAATGGGACAAAAAATATACTAAGAGAAAATTTCATAGCAGATTGTGCCTGTTTTTAAAATGTTTTTTAAAGGTGACATTTAGCAAAGTTCCAGAATAAGATTTTTTCTTTGTATAGACAGACCTTGTATGGTTATAATATCTCACAAGTGTATGTGTGCCTGAATGATGAAATGCTAGCCATTTGAAAAATAGATGAAAAATTTTAATAAGTAAATTGAGACAAAATTGATCGGCATATTCTATCTTCCTCAGGGAGCAAATACAAACAAAACATACGAAGAAACAAAAATACATAACTTAGGAAAATTATTTCTTATAGAGAACAGAATTATTTTTCAGGATAGTGCACCATTTTACTGTTAGTATTTCAAAACTTATCGATCCCTGGGACAGGGGAAGATTCTTTCTATATTTAGAATAATAATTGCAGTGACTTTTTACTGTAAATAAATTTTCTTTCCTCTTATTCAAAATCAGATGCCAAGTTCCTTAACAATCTCGTATTTTACTTTCAAACTGCAAGACCCAGTGCCCTCACACATGGCACCACTGAAACAAATTTAATATACATATAATCATAAATGCATTCTGTCTACTCATGATCTATTCATATTGCAACAGCGGCACCATCTCCACCCTGTGATATCACTTGTCTTGAAAGTTTTCGTGATTCAATGGTTCTTGGATGGAAGCAACCAGTTAACATTGGAGGAGCAGAAATTACTGGCTACTATGTGAACTATCGTGAGGTAATTGATGGGGTACCAGGAAGTTGGAGAGAAGCCAACATCAAAGCTGTCAGTGAGGAGGCATATAAGGTAAGTGTGTGACCTTCTGTACTGTGGAGTGTCATATGTACATTGTCACAATCACATGCACCATTGTGCCCACACAGGCACATGTTCCACACCTTGTAAATGATTCATTTCATTTCTCCATGTCCATTGCCTGCACCTATATGTCTTTTGTAAAAAGTATACGAAGAATAATTTGGCTCAACATACAAGATGTGTATATTTCTGATTCATACACACAAGCATAATAATTTCTTAGAACATTCACTATGATGGACCTCCCTCGTGACCAAGGAGTTAAGTCTCAGTGCTATCACCCCTACGGCCTGAGTTCAGTCCCCAGCCAGGGAGCTAACCCACATGGCGCAGCAGACCTCTCCAGTCTCGTCCGCTGCTCCCTCAGCAGTGTATTTCAATCTGCCTGTTCTGCTCCCCACTCTGTCTCTGGTTAATCCTCTCACCCCCTGTACTTCTGGCCTACACCGCAGTTCTTCTACACACACACACACACACACACACACACACACAAAGAACATTCACTATAAAATACATACCTATTGTGAAAACTAAGGTTTACTACAAAAATTAACTTACAAAATATCTGTATCCAAATGATTGTGGATTTTTAAACTTTCGATGTCCAATTTACAAAGGATAAAGGGATATGGGGTTGATGGTGAGACTCAGCCTTCCACCTGTGAAGTGTCCCCCATGACACTTAGTGCCTATAATGGCTGCCAAGAGGCACTTTAGTGTGTCCACCCACGAGTTTCCTTCTACATGTGGGTCTCCAACAGCAGTGCCCACCTCTGAGAAACTTGGGGGGGTCTCAATGTTGTCATAGTTGATGGCTCCCCTCTTTAGATTATCATCAGCTAGACCCTCATCCCATCCCCAATGCTCCCATGCTGTAAGGGAGATTGCAGGGAAGGCCAGGCGGTGCTGTCCCCAACTCAATGACTCACTCTATAAACTTAACATTTAAAGTTTTTGAAATATTTCACATACTCTAAGAATATGTAAAATACAATTCTATTCTTAAAATTGTCTAGTGTTGATGCTTGTCACTATGACTTCATTACTATAAGGTAGCCCATTCTATAGCCATCATACCATATACTTTTCCACCCAATTATTGACTATATTTGGACTTTAAAAAATTTTAACTTTATCAAACTACATAGCTCTGAACATTTTTGTACATATCTGTGGGTACATATGGACACTGATTTTTCCATGTTATTGCCTAAAAATAGAACTACCAAGCTAGAGAATCTTGTTTATCCTCAACTTTACTACACGACTCTGCTGTTTTCTCCTAAGGCATGTGAAATATCCCATTGGTTCACATCCTTTCCACAGTTAGCATATTCACACATTTTCAGTTTCGCAGTCTGGGTGTCAGATGAGTCGAGTCTGAACATCTTTTCTTATTATACGGTCCGTTTTGAAATCTTTTATAGCATGCTTGTTCAAGGTTGCCCACTTATCTAATGGGATTTCCTTGTGATGTGAAATTCTTTATATACTTTGAGTATAAAGCCTTGATGGTTGTGTAAGTTGCATGTATCTTCTCCCATTCAATAGTCTTTTCCTCTCCTTGTAGAGTCTATACTAATTTTTAAAGTCAAGTTTATTGCAGTCAGATTTACTAACTTTCAGGGTTTTTTTAATTAGTGGTTTCTGTGCCTCTTTTTTCTTTTCAAAAATGCCTTCTATACTCCAAATGCCATGGAAATGCTGCAGATGATATTCTAAAAGCTTTATAGCTTGCCACTTACATTTAAGTCATTAATTTGCCTATCAATTTTGCTCATCATGTGAACAGTCAAATATCATTTTCTCCCCTGTGAACACCCAGTTGTCCCAGAATCAGCTATTGAAAAGTCTGACATTTTCTATAAATTTGCTATGCTATTTGAATGATATGTCAAGTGTCTTTGCGTGCATTTTCCTTTTTCTGTGTTCTATTCTGTTCCACTGGTTTGTTTGTCTGCCACTGAGCCAATACCACATAGATTTAATTGTTATGGCATTATGGTAAATTTGATAACTGGTCAATCCGGTTCTCCCAGTTTTTTCTTCTTCCAGGATATTCTTAAAGCTCTTGCTCTTTGATTATAAATTACAGAATTAGATCACCAAGTTCTACCAAAAAACAGGTAAATGAAAACATAACAATAAACTAAATTAAACCAAACCAAAACATATGTGATTTCTGATTGAGATGCATTAAACTTATAAGTAAATTAAGAAATAATATTGTCCTCTAACTCATGAACAGATATTTTCCTGTATTTATTTTGAACTTTTCAAAAGTCTCTCAATAGTTTTATATTGCTCTGCAGAGGGCTTGTATACAATTTGTTATTTATAGAAACTACACACTTTTCAGTGCTTTTTAAAATGTTTTTATATAATAAATATATTTTGTATTATTTTTATTGCTGGAATAAATATACTTGATTTTATGTATTGATTTTGCATGTCATTATTATATATTCTTTTTTTGCTAATTTTTATTATAATTTCAATGTTACCAATATAGGTTTTTTGATTCTCTCCATATTTAGTTATATCATCTGTAAATGACAGTTTATACCTTCATTTCCATATTTTTTCTTTTATTTCATTTTCTTACCTTTCTATCTAGAATTTTTAACATAATATTGAATAGAAGTGATATTGATAATTCCAGATATGATCTTCACATTATTGAAAAACTTTGAATCTCAATGTTTTATAACATCAGCCAAAAGGAGGTTTCCTTCTAGTCCTCGTTTGTTAATAATTAATTAAAATAATTAAATATTTTTTCTGAATCTATTGAGATGATTACATATTTTTTCCATTTAATTTTGATGTGGTATGTTCTAGTAAATATCTAATGTTAAAACAGTCTTGCATGGGCCTCCCGGTGGTGCTGCAGGTTGAGCGCAGCGCTGTGAAGCTGTCCGCAGCCTCTGCAGTGCCGGTTCGATCCCGGCCAGCTGGCGAGGTTCCCACATGGCGTGGCAAACCTCTCCTGTCTCGCCCGCTGCTCCCCTCAGCAGTGTATTTAAGTCAGTCTGCCTGTTCTGTTCCCTGCTCTGTCTCTGGTGAATCCCCTCACCCTCCACATCTCTGGCCTGCAACCCAGCTCTTGTATAAAAATAAATCTTTAAAAAAAAAAAAGCAGTCTTGCATTCCGGGCTAAACTCAACTTGGATTATATATACTCTGTTTACGTATTTCTGGATTTTTTTTTTTTTGCTAATTATTGTTTACAATTTTTGCTTTTATGTTCATGAGTGAAATTGTCCTGACAGGAGAATTAATTTGGATATCAATATTTGACAAGGATAGTACAAGTAGGGAAAATGGCAAATAATCTCTCTTTTATTGAGATCTAATTCGCATATCATAAAATTCACCAGTTTAAAATGTTGCTTCATATATTTTGATGTGATGTTATTAGATGGCTACAAAGTTACTTTCTATAGTGCTAATAGTGTGCTTTGTCTTGGCCTATATATGGTCCATTATTAATATAAATATACCAATTTTCATTTGGTTGGTATTTGCACACATACAAATTTTTATCTTTAAATTTTTTTTTTTAAAGATTTATTTATTTATACAAGCACTGGGTACAGTCAGAAGCATGGGAGGGTGAGAGAATTCACCAGAGCCAGAGCAGGGAGCAGAGCAGGCAGAAGGACAGAAGCACACTGCTGAGGAGAGCAGCGGGCAGCAGGAGAGGTCTGCGCGCCATGTGGGACCCTCCTTCGGTGGCCAGGGAGCAGCCGGGGATTGAACCGGCTCTGCAGAGGCTGCGGGCAGCTTCGCAACCCAGCACTCAACCGCTGCGCCACCGGGGAGGCCCTTTTATCTTTTAATTTTCAATCAATCTCTAACCTTATTCTTTATATGTGTCTTTTACAAATAGCAGAGGTGGGTTTTTCCCACTATCTGATGGCCTTTGTTATTTAACTGAAATATTTACTGTTACTACCTTTGATTAGTTTACAAGAACCAGTTGTCTTATTCTCTGTTTTCTATGTGTCTTACATGTTCTGTTTTTTTTTTCTGTCATTTCTTGACTACTTTTGAATAGTTTTGTCTCCTTTAATCATTTCCTTTTCTCTCCTCCATTGTCATGAAAGCTATGAATTCTGAGTTTCTGTGTAGGTATGTTTTGATTATTATGCTAGAAATTATTGTTAGTGATCTCAACAAAATCTGAAGTTATTTCAGTTTTACCCTTGTTTTATAAATATAAATACCTTAGAATAAGCCATTTACTACTGGCTTATTCCCTAAGTATATGCTTTTGTGTATATATATATATATATATATTATTTTTTAAAGATTTATTAATTTATACATACAAGATCTGGGGCACAGGCCAGAGATGCAGGGGAGTGAAAGGATTCACCAGAGACAGAGTGGGGAACAGAACAGGCAGACTGACCAAACACACTGCTGAGGGGAGCAGCGGGCAAGACAGGGGAGTTCTGCCATGCCATGCGGGGTGCTCTCTGGCCGGCCGGGGATCGAACATGTGCTGCAGAGGCTGCAGATTGCCCCATAGTGCAGTGCTTAACCCCTTGCACCACCAGGGAGGTCCCCTTTTGTGCATATTTTTTATTCCTTAATTCAAAATAATTTCTATTATTGTTTTGTAGAGTCAGTAGTTGGTTAGATTTACCTATGTATTTAACATTTTACTTACTCTTAATTCTGCATCTTTGACCTGCCTTTGGAGATTACTTTCTTTTTGCCTAAATATTTTATTTTATTTTTTTAATTTTTTTTATAATAAATTTTATTTTATATTCCCCATACAATTGCAACCCCCCCCATTCTGACCACAATCCCTCCCCTCCCGCCCCCCACCCCCCAAAAAGTGTCTCTGGTTCATAGTTTTTTGTTGATTTTGATTTTCACTTTCTTATAGTTATTCATTTTCCTGGTCCCTTATTTAAGTTTTCTAGATTCCTGCTATGAGTGAGACCATCCGGTATTTTTCTTTCCCTTTTTGG